CTCCCCTCCTCGTTTTCTTTTTGGCGTGAGTGTGTGTTGACAGGTTTGAACAGTGAAGACTCTGTCTGCCTGCAAAGCTCTGTCTGCAAGGCTCCCTGGGGAAAAGCCGCAGCTCGGGCGGCGGGCAATCAGTTCCGCCGCATCGGTATGGAGGATGGTAGAATTGTAAAGGATGGTATGAGGAGGAGGAGGAGTCGTTTAGGAGAAGTGAATTGGAAAGGAGAAGATAGTTGTGGAGGCGGAGTTCACAGCGGGTGACAGTGGGTCGCGCTACATCCAGCGCGTTGTTCGAGAGATGAGTTTGGGCGGGAAGCGGTAAACAGCTGCTGGATGCAAAGAGGACAAAAGAACAGTTATCAGGTCGCGTCTGGCAATCCGACGGTGTGTGTCGTGAGGGAAACGTGACTTCCATTCGATTGATTGATTGATTGATTGATTGATTGATTGATTGATTGATTGATTGATTGATGCCAGGCCGTCACGTGTGGTAACCACGTCGAGTTACGTTGAGCAAGAAGGGCCGAGACAAGTCAGGCCGTGTGCGACTTGAACGACTGCTTCAGGAGGGAGTTGGTGGCGGACATGCAAGGACCGTGATGGGGGGATGAATGTGGCTGGACGCCACCTAGTTGTGAGTATCTGCTGCCAGCCTTTGGCCAACGGTCCACAATTACTTGATCATGTTTACTGCTGGCACTGGCGGCACTCCGATTTGCGGACATTGGCGGAGCGCCCACTGGCGAACACTGGCGGAACGCCCATTTGCGGACACTGGCGGAACGCCCATTGGCGAAAACGGGCGGACACTGGTGGACACTGGCTGACCCTCGCGGTTAATGGCGGTCACTGGCGGACACCTGGCGGACACTGGGGGACACTGGCGGACACTGGCGGACACTGGCGGACACTGGCGTGCACAGGCGGAACGCCCACATTTGTGGACGCTGTGATCTAGATAGGAAAGGGAAAGTTAGACGTACCCACGTGGGAAGTTAAAGGCAGCCACGTGGGACTATACAACACGCCAGCTGGCGCCCTTCTTTGTCGTCGTCCTCCTAATTACCTTTCGGATAGCAATCTGATCTTCCTCTGAGATCTGAAAGCTTAGAGCGCGTACACATAGCGACTACAGCAACGGCAAACTGTGACCGCAGGCGCAAGGAGGCGAAAGAGGAAGGGGGGGAACGGGGGGGGGGGAGATTTGTGAGTGCGGGGCTAAAGGAAAAAAGGTTACCAAGAGGACCAGATAGGCGTATTGAGTGGGAGTATTACCCAGATCGTGGCGCGCGGGGAAAGGTGGGGGTGGGGGGGGGGGGGAGGGAGGCTGGCCCGAGGGAAAGGGCTCGTTTGTAGAAACATTGGATGCGCATAAAGTATGGCGCGGCTTTGCCAGCTGGCGGTTGGAGAGGTGTTAGCGCCTGCGCCGGCGGCAGGCCTGGCGCGGACTTCCGATTGGTTGCGCAGCTTTGCGGGGGCTAGCTGGATTGCATATGCGGGAGAGGGGGGAACCGTGGTCATCGCCAGTGGTCCTCCAGCGCCGACCGGTCGCGAGAGCGTTGCGCCTCATCAGCACTTCCAGCAGGTTCTTCGTTTTCGGGGGGGCTTCTGCGCCGGCGGCCACGCGGGGGCGGAGTCGGAGCCGGGGGGGAGTTTCGTCGTCGGAGGGGGGGGTGGTTATACGGGCGCAGATGGCGGGTTCAGAGGCGGTGGATGGGATCGGGATATGGGAAGCGAAACGGGGATGTCCTCCGATGGAGGTCTGGGACTGGGTATGGCCATACCTGACGAAGCCATCGCTCCGTACGACGTGTCATGTCTGGCATGGGGAGGTACAGGGCGCAGCGCAGGGACGCTTGCCGTCGCTTACGGTCGACTGGTGCATATTCTATCTCCTCAAGGCGTTGCTAAAGGATGGAATCCTGTCGTTGATCTTCCAGGTAAGGGGGAAACCCTCTCCATTTCCTTTCTCTCCTATCGTCGTTTTGCTTCTGTAAGCCCTTTTTTTTTTTTTTTTTTTTTTTTTTCCCTCCCTTTTTTGTCCTGTTACTCCGTCCCGGCCTCCTTTTACTCCCCATTCTTATCCCCTCCTTTTTGTCCTTCTCTGGGCCGGAAATCTTTTGGCCTTTGTTTTCTGAGTTCTGTCGCTCAATGTCAATCGGAGAGGAGGACGCTTTCGATTTGCTCAATGTATTTGGGTACGGGAGCACAGATATTATGCCAGTTAGCCCCCACCCCACCCCCACCCCCACCCCTTTTTCTGCCTGCGGGGGGGGCGAGTGGGGAGGTGCAGCAACGGTCCGCTCATATCTGGAAATTCAACGACTATCCCCATCGGGATTCCAGCGGGTGTGCGCGGATTTCCAAGTAGATGATCTGCACGTGGATGTGCAGAAGCGGTGGTGCATTCTAAGTGGGCTAATTACGTCTCTCCGAACTGAAAGGGGCCATTCCTGGTCTGTACCCCCCCTTCCCCCTTGTCCCTCCTTCGCCCCTCTTCCCCGCTTCCTTAAAATTGACAGCTAGTAAAATTAAGCGGAGAAAAAACCGGAGAAAAAACCGGGGAACAAAGCGGGGAGAAAAAAGCGGGGAGAACAAAGCGGGGAGAAGAAAGCGGAGAAAAAAATCGGAGAAAAATCGGAGAAAAAGCGGAGGAAAAAACGGAGGAAAAAGCGGAGGAAAAAGCGGAGAAAAAAGCGGAGGAAAAAGCGGAGGAAAAAGCGGAGAAGCGCAGAAGGAAGCGGTGTGGCTGAAAGTGGTGGCTCGTGGGAGGTGGTGGCTCATGATGATAGTAGTACAGTCATTTTGAATCGATTTATCAGGGAGAAAGAATAACTAAACGGATGGACAAAACACATGAATAAGATGAAAACGAGGGAATGAAAAAATAATGAATAAAATGAGATATGATTGAAAGTGGAAACATTGGCAATTAACGAAATGAGGGAGAAAGAATCTTCAAACGTTGTTCGCCGATGAAGTGGTAAACTCGTGTTGCCGTGTCAGACGAGTAATCTCTGACCTTATTACTTCACCATGTGCGGGACTGTCCTAACCTATTTACTACTCAGTTCAGTTCAATAAATACTCAATTGATGATCCTAGTTCAGTTCAATAAATACTCAATTGATGATCCGGAGGAAAGCAACATCGGTGGGAATGTGCAGAGATGGGAAATATAACATGCGACCTGGACGGCGTGAAAAGGAGCAGGAGACCAACGACAATGTTAAAAAGAACGAAAAAGAGCGCCAGCAGCGCTAGCATTTCCTCTGCTGCTCTCTTCTCTCTCTCTCTCTCTTTCCCCTCCCCCCCCTCCTGTCTCTCTCTCTCTCTCTTCCCCGCCCCCCTTTCCGCCCCTCTTCCCGCGCTGGTTTCCTGTATTTCTCTCTGTCTCTGTCTCTCTCCCCTCCCCCCCCCCTAAAAAAAAACCGTCTGGCACGTCGTGCTTGTTGTGTATTGGTGTGGCCATCGCGGTGGGTTGTTGTCGTTGTTCTCATGCGTGGTTTGCGCATGTAGGTGGAAGAAAGAAAGTGACATTGGCCGACTGGGCATTTTGTTGGTTACAGGAGGAAGCGGGGGATTGGGTATGGGCATGACTGGTTTGTTTGTTCTTGCGGCTCTGTCTATGTGGATGCTGTCGATTTTGTCACAGCGAGCCCACTGTCATGGAAATGCAGCGCATCGCTGAGTCATCAAGGGCCCGTGAGCTGTCTGTCGTGGACGGAATCCGGTGATGGGTTGCTGAGTGCCGGAGTGGAGGTGGTGATGTGGCGCCGTCGGAGGACTGCCGGGCAAGAGGGGTGGGTGACGTGGCAGAGGCTCTGGCAAAGAACTCCGCCCCTACGGCATCACTTAGCGGCAGCGTCATGGAGCGCTGATCTGTTTTGTGCGTCTTCGGAAGGGGTGGATACGTTGGGCGACGTTGTAGATGCCGCCCAGATCCCGGCTAGCTTTGGCGGGGAAGGGCAACGGGAAGACCCCTTGTCGTTGTCGAGGAGGGTTGGGGGAGAGAATGGCGCGAGCGGGGGGAGAAGTATTGGGGGGGCGGCGCCGATGGTGAGCGGGCAGGCATGGAAAGGGAAAGGAAAGGCGACAATCTGGTGGTGGACGACGGAAAGGGCAGAGGGGGAGGAAGGGGGAGAGGTGGCGGCGGCGGCGGCGGCGGAAGGGGAGGGCGGTGCGCCGAGGAGCGAGGCTTCGTCGTCTGCGCTGTCTGTTGGAGGGGGTGACGGGGGTACTGACGAGTGTGAGAAACGGGGGCCGGAATCAGAGGGGACTTTGGTAGAGATAGAGCTGCCGCATGCCGGGAAAGTGTTGTCGCTGCAGTGGCGGCCGGAGAAGACGAGTGTGGTGGGGTCGTACGGCGAGGGGGTGTCGGCAGGGGGAGGGGGGTGGAGGAGAAGAGGTGGTCACATTTTTAGACCCGTACTTTTGACCAACTGCGAGGATGGGACGGTGAGGTTATGGATAGAGATAGATAGCACCTTTGGGAGACTTGGAGGAGGAGGAGGAGGAGGTGGGAGTAAGAATGCAGGAGCAGGAGCAGGGTGCCGGGGGGGAGGGAGAAGGGGTGTGTATCGGCCTGTGTTCTTTGTGGCGACGGTCATCGAGCTGGGATTTGGGGGGTGGGGTGTGCCGCGGGCTCCTAGCGGCGAAGGGGGAAGAGATGCCTGGCAAGGTACTACAGTGACGTGGGCGCAGGAGGTAAGAGCGGGGGGCTCCGCCGCGCAGCTCCAGCAGCAGCAGCGCCCGGGCGGAGCGGCGGCGGCAGGTTCGATGGCTACGACTCCCTCCGTCGCCGCCGGCGATGGCCACGTGGCGCCCTGTGAGTGGATTGTCGGTATCTCACTTGAGGGAACCGTGACCATGTGGGCCGTCTACTTCCTGGACGATGTGATGCCTCCACGTTGCCCTCGCGTGATTACGTGGCAGGAGGGGGTTCGTCTGCTCCCACCACTTGGCAGCAGCAGTGATTCGATCGCCGCTCATCTAGCGATGACAGGAGGAGGCGGCGGGAGGTCCACGTTCTCGTACCCTTCTCGGCGGTTTGGCGCGGGCAGCGAGGTGCTCAGGTGTGTCGTGCAGCGCGCCGAGGGAGCGTCCGGCAGCACCCCCACTGCAGTAGAAGTGTGCGAGAAACTCCCACATGGGGGGTTCCGCTTCAGTCGGCTCTGGCCTCCTGTGACGGCCGTCGGACCTGGAGGGGGGAGGGGAATCGGCACCGCCGCCAGCGGAGGAATTGCGGGGGGAGGGGGGGGTGTTGCTGTAGGCGTCCTTAGCGGGGTAGGGAGCCAGAAGATGGGCGGCGCTTGGGGGGTGGCCAGCGAGGTGTTGGAACTGGTTGGACACGAGGCCAGGGTCGTCGATCTCGCACTTCACCCATCCCCGGGAATGTCAATAGGTGCAAGCCTCGACGAGCAGGGTAGGGTGATGACGTGGCGGACCTGCGAGGATGCTTGCTCACCCGGCTTGATGTCCGTCTCTCCAACCACTCTCAGTGGTGCTCGGAGATTGCCGATAAGATATTATCCTGACGGATCAGCAGCAGCAGCAGCAGGGGAGGAGGACTGCCAAGTGCCGCCATACTACAACTCCCTGGTTTGGGCCGACGTTGTAGTGGGTCAGGGGGGCGAGGGCAGACGGGGCCTGCTGATCGCTGCCCACAACACAGGCGTGGAGATATGGGCAGTGAGGGAGGGCGATCGTTGTAAAAAGGCTGGAGGGAGAGGTGGTGGGGGCGTGAGAGGAGGAGCCGCAGAGACATCGACCACGACCGCCTTTGGGGCACCAGCAGGAGGCCCATCGTCGACGATGAATGTGGCAGACGACAGCAGCAGCAGCAGCTTTTCATCTTGTGTCGCCACGTGGGAGATGCCACGGGACTTGCTAGGGGAAGGAATTGAGCGGATCTTCCTCCTCCCTGCCGATTCCCCTCCTAAACGAGGAGGAGGTCCGGACGAAGAGTTCTTCCTGCTGGTGGTTGTCGCTAATGCTGGCTTAACCATGGTTGGACTAAAGGTTATTTTTAGCGCAGCGGGAGGGGGAAGGTTCGGGTCGTCCATCCGGGGGGACGAATCAACGGCAGTGCTACGTTGGTTTGTTGGAGGGGGTACCCCGGCGGCGGAGCTCCCGGGAGCTGGGGAGGAGAGGGACGGCTGTGTGTTTGACGGTGATGATGGGAGGAGGCTGCAAAGGAAACCAGAAGGCGGCGGGGAAGAAGAAGGCCGCCAAGTGAAAGGCGAAGGAGGGGGTTTGCAAGTAAGGACGGAGGTTGTCGCTGTATGGAGAGGGTCAGATGACAGCGTCAGTGGTGCGTGGGGCCAGGAGAGATTGACCGCTGCTGAGGCGATCCCGACGGAGATGGGACCATCGGCGTGGTGGGAGGTCATGACACTTGCCAGAGACAGCAGGGGAGTGGGAGCGAGGAAGGTTGGCGATGGCGGTGATGGAGAAGCTGGGAGGGTAGCCAGTACTGCTGCGTCTCGCTCATTGCCCTATCAGTTCGTGACGGGCAATGCAGATGGAAAGCTCCAATTCTGGAGGCTACGTGTACCCTCCTCCTCGGCTTCTGAGGCACTTCCCAGAGAGAGGAAGTCCTGGATAAGTAGCCGCGATGAAGATGCATTGGGATCGGGATATGCGTCGTCCGAAGCTGCAGGACCGGGGAATGTCAGCAGCGCTGTGGACACAAACGGAGGAGTAGGAGGATGGGAGTGTGTGGGATGGGTGCGCGCTCACGAGGGGCCTGTTGCTTGCGTGGCTAGTGCCAGGGGAGGATGCCGCTTGGCATCAGCGGAGGCGGGAGTGATGGATGACGTGGCAGCACCGTGTGTTCGCATCTGGCAGGCTGATGCTGCCTATGACGATGCTGCTGCTGCTGCTGCATCGTCATCGTCATCACCCGGCCAAGGCTGGGGTTCTGGGTTTGAGTGCGAGGGGATGTTATCTCTACCGGAGCCTGTGGTGTCATTACAGTGGGAGGAACCGGGCAATGGGCAGCTCTTGCTTGCTGTGGGGACGCTGGGCGCAATGAGAGTGTACGCGCAGCGGGCGGTGAAGGTCACGTGGGGAGATGGGAGGCGGAGACGTTCTCCTGTCTGTCGTAGTGGAGGATGGGTGTGTATTGCTTACTTGGAGACGAGGGGGGAACGTCTCGGATGTCTTAATTGGAATCTTCGTGGAGGGCTCATCGCGGCAGTGGGGATGGAGGTGTGGGTGGTGAGTAGGTGGGTTCTCGTCACACCCATGACAATAGAGGACACGGAGGACGTGGTTTGGGGAGCAGCCGGAGAGATGCTCGAGGTTGCATCTGAAGCCGGCGGGAGCCTTTATCATCCCCTACCCCCACCTGGTGCGGGTGGGGGGGGCCGTGGGTTCCTCCCCAGCCATCCCTCGCTTGGGTCATTGGTTAGTTATCCGTCGATGCAGTCGTTGCTGCATCACTCTGTTTCGGTTCCGGCGCTGACAAAGCTGGGGGCAGGGTCGTCCCTTGGGGGATGGGGAGGAGGGGGCAATGCTGGCACGCCGAGAAGGATGTTCAATTCTCCGTCTACGACGAGCCTGAACATGTCTTCCGCACTTTCCACAGCTTCCTCTCCCCCTCTTTCCCTCTTCTCTGTACGAACTGGTCAAAATCGACGATTCCCACACTCGCAGTCCACCCCAGCGCTCTCCTCCCTTCGCCAGGTCACATCGATGGGGTCCATTGCCACGGCGGGGATCGGGATGGATTATGGATATCAGGATGACTGTCTCCAGACCGATGAGACGGAAGGGGTGCCGGTAGAGCTGGTTGTGGGGCAGGTGTTGCCGCTTCTTGAAGCCGCCAAGGCCGTTGGAGCATCCTTGCCGGACTATCATCCACGTGTCCTTATCCAGTATCTATACTCCGGTAAGGGAACCTGTTTGTTTGCCTGTCTGCCTGTCCCGTGTATCCGTGTCTGTCTGTCTGTCTGTCTGTCTGGGTGCCTCTTTCTATCTGCCTGTGATCTTGATGGACACAAGGGTACCAGGGGCTAACACTGTCTTTCATAAAATGAAGTTGAAAAGTTGGGAGGAAAAAGAGGTCCGAGCCATGTGCTAGCGTAGCTGCGGGTCTCCCTCTGTTCGTCTGCTGCATGCTATGCTGTTTGTGGACGTACATTGTAGGCTTGCTGTGGTATGAAACGGGGTTTTTGTGTGTTGGTGGTGGTTGTTACGGTTCTTTCTGACATGTCTGCCATGCAATAGTCCCTGTAGTTTATATGGTTGTTGTTGTCGTTGTAATTCAGACGGTTGTTGATGGGGTGCTGTGATTCTCAGATGGTTATCGTATAATCATTAAACACTATTCATTCAAATTAAACTTGGATTGGAACTGTACTAAGGTAGTCATGCAAACTGAACTAGATTGGAATTACTACCGTCTTCCCCCAAACATAACGCACCCTGATAAGGAATGTATAGAAGCCATCTTTCCTGTCCGGTACAGGCAAAATGCGTATGCTTTATGTCTGGGGGGGAAGACGGTAGTCTTGTAAATTAAACTAGATTTTGATTGGTTGTTTTGATTTGGCAATTGATAAGCAATGGGCGTAATTCAGATGGCTATCCAGATAGTTGCCACTGTTTTTTTTTTTGCATATCGCTGGCCGTCCAGGGTCATCCGGACAGGACATGCAGTGTTATGTCCCTACTTCTCCGGCATTTTATTAACCATCTGAACTACGACCATTACGTATCAATTGTCCCTTGAAAACAAACAATCAGAATCTAGTTTATGTCCCTACTTCTCCGACATTGTATTCGCAAAGGATGTCAAAGTTCAGAATGTTGGACATGCAATGGAATGTCCCTACTTCTCGGGCATTTTATCCACCCGCAAAGGGCGTCAGACTTCAGATTACAACAACTTGTGTTATTCTTTGTCAGTTGACGGAGGGGTGGCGTAACACATTGCTCTACCTCCGGAAATTGGGAAAGTCCATGGAAAATCCCACAGTGTCCTTTTTCTTCTTTTTTCTTTTACTCGTCAAGTTTGTAAAGTTCCTTTCATCTGGATTCGAACTGGGGTCTGTAATTCAATAGATATTTTGACTTTATTTCTTTTTCCGGCACATTGCCACCAATAATGCCCGGGCGTTACAAACGAATATAGCACCCGCCAGGCATTATTCATATACAACGCCCGGGCGTTATTTTCCGGTGAAGACGGTAGTGGTCGTCCAGGAGTTCAATCCGACAGGAGATGCAGTGGAATGTCCCTACTTAAAGCATTCAATCCGCAAAGTCTTTCATTCAAGAATATACCCCAACTGCAAACCCTTTCAGAGCGTACGCTTCACGTTTCAGTGAATACACATCGTGCACCTCCCTACCGTCTTCACCCGAAAATAACGCCCGCGTAAAGAAAATCAGATTTTTGTTCTTACTCACTTTTTTTCAATAGAACGGCCTTCAAAATAACACCATGGCGTTATATTCGAATAGAACACCCAGCGTTATATTCGAATGTGCCATGGGCAGAGTGCCTTGTAGAGGGAGTATACATGGGTTTTCAAGGGCGTTGAAAGGGGGTTTGACCTCCAAGGGGTATGTTTTGGTTTGATTTTTTTTTTTCTTTTGTTTAAAGTGAGTAAGAACAAAAATCTGATTTTTAACCCGGGCGTTATTTTCGGGTGAAGACGGTAGGCAGGTGCATAATGTGTATGGGTTATTTTGAGTGGCGTTCTATTGAAAAAAAGTGGGTAGGAACAAAAATCTGACGGTAGGCAGGTGCCTGATGTGTATGGGTTATTTTGATGGGCGTTCTATTGAAAAAAACTAAAGTGAGTAAGGACAAAAATCTGATTTTTTACCGGGGGGTTATTTTCGGGTGAAGACGGTAGGCAGGTGCATGATGTGAATGGGTTTATTGATTTCTCGTCATCCGGGACCCCTGTTAAAATTGGAGCGAAGTGGACATCCATTAAAATTGGAAGAACACAGAGAAGATTAGCATGGCGCCCCTGTGCAAGGCTGACACATATAAATCAAGGAAAATTGGAGTGACACAGGGAAGATTTGTTTTTTGAACTTTTTCTGTTGTATTGTCGGAAGACGTCATTTATCGTACTGGGGAGTCGGATGAATGGGGATGGTCATGTTTTCCTGTTCGTGTTTTTGTACTTTGGGGTGGGACATTCATTTAAACTGGAAGGATACAGAGAAGACTAGCATGGTGCTTGGCGAGTCTCACATATAAATCGCGAATAATTGGAGTGACATGGAGAAGATCTGTTTCTTTTTTTTTTGTATTGTGGGAAGGCGTCTCTTATTGTACTGGGGAGTCGGGTGAATGGGGATGGTCATGTTTTCCTGGTCACTTTGTGTCTGAACTGATTTTGGTCACCTTCGCACCCCTGCACTTTCATGAGAATGGTATGGCACGACCCCATTAACTTTTTTGCAGTGTGTTAATTGGTCTTGATAAGCGAGTATGGGCTTTGGAGGAAGTTCTAATCTTGGACGATTGGAGGAGTTTCTGATCTTTTGGTTGTGCGAAGATTTTGACCTTTGGATGGTTTGGGAACTTGTTTTCTTTTTTCGGTCTGGTTGTCCGTGGTCCGTACAATTCAGGACACTTTGGCAGGGCAAGGGCCTGCATCCGGCATCTGGCACGTGCGTTGTTGGGTAGTGCACCATCTGGGGGAGAAGGAAAAGAAAAAGAGAAGGGACGGGCGTTCGACAGGCAAGAGGATGGACCGGCAGGTCCTTCCATGAGCAGGGCTAATGGAACTTGTGGTTGGCCCAACCTTATCCCCAGTGTTAGTCTTGTGGAGATGCTGGATGGTGAGATCGAACAGACCGGGGCTGCGGAGAGTCAGTCCAGTGTCAAGTCAGGTCTCCTCCCAGGTGGCAGTAATACCGGTACCTTTGGTTTCGGGTCTTCTTCAGGTTATGGAGCTACTGCACGAATGGGTGGTGGTGCTAGAGGCATGGCGAATGGGTTCGGCGGCAGCATACTTGACAAGTATTCCTTTCTTAACTCAACCACATGGATGGACGAAGAGTTTGGAGACATCAATGCACCTGGTAAAGGTAGGGAAGGTGCAGAGTCCCTGAGTGAGCAGCAAGGGCTGATAAAGAGGGGTGGTAAGGAAGCGATGACCGAGGAGGAAGCAAAGGTCGTGCTTGATGCATTGAAGGGGAAGGATAGGGGAGAACTGTTGCTAGGAGAGGGGGAAAAGGTGCAGTTGCTTGCAGTTGTGGATGTGCTTGCGGAAACAGACTCGCAACGAACGCGAGGAGGCTCTGGAGAGGGGCTTGACAGAATGGCTAAGCGTTTCAGGGTTGCATCACGCCTGAGAACTGCATTGATGCAGAGGAAGAAAGAATGTGTAGCTGCCAGTTCGGGCGCGGATTCTGGTCCTGGAATGGGCACAGGCTCCGGTGCAGCGCCGCTGTCAACGGCAGCGAAGCAAAAAGCTGTGGAATCACCAGTTCCTGTTGGGTCAGTGGAAATAGCATGGGTGCTTCATTCGGAGGCGAAGGCAGCTCTCTACGATATGTGCGTGGAGGATCCTCCTTCTTGGCCTGCTCTGTCGGAGTTGGGCGTGGGCTATTGGCTGACGAATCCGGCAGACTTGAGACCCAGAGTGAGTGTTGTGTTTGCGTGCTATTGGCTGTTCTTGCTTGGTATTGATTGGCTGCTCTTTTAGGATGCTGATTGAGATATCATGTTATGAGATGTGTTATGTTTGCTTGGTATTGGCTGCCCTTCATTGGTGCTCAGTGATTGAGGTTTCATGTGTATAAGGTGCGTTGGTCGATGGTGTGTCTTGTTAGCATTTTGCTTGTTTTTCTTGTTATCTGTATGACCATCAAACCACCAGTTTGAGACTGCTAGATAATAGGTAGGGTCCTTTCAGCGCTGACTTCATGCTACAGCGTTGGCTTTGTGATGCTGGGAAGTATATAACAACTAAATAAGAGTTCGGCTCTGGTCTCTTGGAATGATGGCCCAACGATGCTGGTTGGTGGGAAAGGAGGTGGACGATGACTGGATGGGGTTGGGTTTTGAATGGTGATGTTTACGTAAATGAATGTATTGCAAGCAGAATCTTCATCAAAAGACCTCTTTGCGCTGTTTTCGGCGTCTCTCTGTCAATATGTTGTCCTTGTATTGGTTCAGTGAAGTGCAGAAGTGAGATGATTGGGTTGCATGGTTGTTGTTGGCTAGTGAAATAAAAATTTCCAGTGTCTGATACCAGGGTTGCAACAACTGAGGGAAGCTCTCATGTTGTCTTTTTTGTGTGTGTGGGGGGAGCTCATATCAAGACTATATACTTTGGTAGCCGAGGGTGCAGACTTTGGGGAGTGGCAGGCTTTGTGAAAAACCTCGTCTCTTCTCTGTCTTATAATGTGCTATGGAAATCTTTGATCTGTTTGTGCGATTGCTGCCACACGTTCTGACGAGCTCTTTGCCATGGTGTTGCTGCTGTGCCGGAGCCAACTTAGTCTGTAAAGTTGGCGAGGGAGAGTGTTTTGGACTTTGCAGGCTGTCCTGAAGTGGCTGTGATTTGCCTGTGCATTGAGCGTTTTTTCTCTCTTTCTGTTTATGATTTTCTTGTTTTTGTTGTGTGTGTGTGAAAATCTCTGCCTGGGGGCTTCGGAATGAAACAGATGGAGAAACTGGCAAGAGCTCAGTACCTTCTCAAAAAGGATCCAAAAGATTGTTTTTTGCTGTACCTAGCACTTGACAGGAAGGCGGTGCTTGCTGGGTTGATGAAGCTGAGCAAAGATGAAAGGGATAAAAAGCTTTATGAGTTCCTTGGACGAGACTTCAAGGTAAGAGAACGGATTCTCTGTGTATCAATCTGTGTTTAACTTCCGAAATGGTTTCTGGTGTGCTTTGTGAGAGGCAGGGTGTAGAAATGAGGCGGAACATTTCAAACTTTTCTGCTCATGTTTCCAGAATATGACGGTTGGAGGATGTAGGTGCGAGGAATCCTCGCGGGAGAAGCGAAAACTGCAAGAATCATAAACTCTCTTGAACAGCATGTATATGGTGGCCAGACTAGAATGAGAAAGGATGAAGCAGTTGTCATGCCATGCATGCCACGTCGAAGTCTCTTTGAATGGAACAAAGATAAGAATTCTTGCTGGCCTCTGTACCAGCGTGTATGATCACCTACTCTATCTTCTATCCTAGCCTGCACTTCACCGTAAGACCATCATAGACTCCGGTGTTGCTCCCACTAATGCCTGCGTGAAGAGCATGTCGTCCTGGAGCTCTTCTCGCCATCTCCCCTGCCAGTGCCACCTTCCCTATACACCCTGGTGCCTTATGGCGATGGCGCAGGCCGTTGTTCGTTACCCTACTCCAACGGCAGATTAAACCTAAAGTTCCTAAACAAAATTCCCGAAGTCTATGATAACAATGACCGATGTTTGTCTTTTTTTATATGATGACAATGATGAATATGATGTCTCGATCATAATATTTTTACTCATTGGTGTCCCCGTCATCATCACTGCCATCGTCATCATTGATATTCTCATCCCTACTATTATGGCACGGGCTGACTGCATGATACTTCCCTCTTCCAGCTTGCACTGTGCTGATGTAATGCTCCTGCAACCTGGCAACATCCTGCATCAGAATGTCCCTTGAGCCGCCACAATGTTGACTTACATACCACACCTGTGTCCTGTGCGGCTGGTAGGTACTGCCCTCTGGAGTCTTCCTTACCTGGCCGTGACCTCCCGAGTCCCAGGAACACTACCGTGCCTCTCTCTGGGTCTGACTTGGCCTGTGTGTCATTGACCTGGAACCAGGGCCTACTGGTCCTTTGCTGCATACTGATAGGCTCATGGGGCCTCGTATATGGTTGACTTAGATGATGAAGATGGGTGTAATTTCAAGGGAAGAGAGTCCATGTGGTCTTTTGGAACGACCGTTAAAATGGGAATCACACAGAGAAGGTTTGCAGGACCCCTGTGGATGGGTGACCCAGACAGATGGACAAAAAAGATTGGAATGATTGAGAACCAAGGAGACCAAAAAAATCCTTGTCTGAGGGTCCTCGGATCTCAAAAGCATAGGCAGCCTTTCTTGTTTTGTTATTTCAGAGGTTGTATATGTTGAAGTAGATGGAAGTTGTTGCATTGATTGCTTCTGGGCTTTCAATCTTGATGAGGCAGTATGGAAAGGGGTGTTGGGTTGGCTCTGATCATCTCGAGACATGGGGGTTAGACCCGTAAAGGATCCATCTGATGAGATCTGTGGGCTGGATTGGCCCAGTGAAGCATCATTTGATTTTGTGTGTGAAGTATGTATGTGGTGTTTGCTAATTGTCGGAATGTGTTTGGTGTGGCATTGGGCAGGAGGAGAAGAATCGTGCAGCTGCACTGAAGAATGCTTATGTGCTGATGGGGCAGCACCGTTATGAACTAGCAAGCGGGTTCTTCCTTCTGGGTGGTGATATGCTTTCCGCGGCCACTGTTTGCGTCAAGAACATGGACGACCCGCAGCTTGGACTTGTGATCTGCCGGTTAAAAGAAAGCTCACCCTCTGGGGGCGAGTCCTTAGGAAAGGTGGGATTAGAAATGGTCAATCGGTATATGTTGAAGGCAGCTAGAGATGCAGGTGACCGATGGAAGGCCAGCATGCTTCTATGGATTGTGGGGAACAAATTGGGGGCGATGAAGGAGGTTGTTGGTTTTGACAAAGGTGATAGTAATGACAGCCCGGTCAAGGACAGTGGCGGTGGCAGGGATTTTGAGAGGAGATTGCGAAGGGCGAGAAGTGGAAGGTTTTCGTCGGAGAGTGTTGGTGCTGATCTGAATCTTGCAGACGAGGATGAGCAGTCATGTATGCGAGAGCCTGGTACTCTGTGGCCGTTGGATCCTGAGGTAGGGGATTATTGTGGCATGATTGCATCTAAGCCAGCAATGCAACTGGGCACCGTTGAGCAGGAAGCAAAGCGTATTGCTGTCCTAGCATCTATACGTGCAGCGTATGCCTTTGACCGAGCAGGGATGCAGGTAATGCTACTGACATCAGTTTGTCAGTCTGCTTGAGTAACCTCTCCTGGTGTCCTCACACACTTGAAATTTCTTGTCCATCGCCATTTCTTTGGTTTTGAACAGCCAACCACTTGTTGTATGCAGTCAGACTATCTTATGGACAAATTCCAATTGCATAGAATGTGAGTATAGCCAGGAAGCACATGTGCTTGAGTCGAGTAATGTCACGGTCTCAGAGGAGCAGATCGAGACTATATATGCTTAAACCACCATTGCCGCGGAGTTCGGCGGCTATTCGTGCTCAGAATAATTGATGAAAACATTTGGAAAAAAACAGGAACATAGATTGAACACGGATGTTTTGGAAAAAAAACGATATAAATTTTTCTTCAAATCAGAAATAAGCTGGCGGCAAAAGAGTGGAAATTTTCACTCCCTGTTGCTACTGGTAGGCCTGATTCTTTTCCTCGGTGGGCCGAGCTCCGAAAAGAAGTAACAGTTCGTTAAATAGCACCAGAGGCCAAACAATAGAAAGAGAATCACATCCTTAGCTGCGGCGATTTGGAATCATTAGCTTGTACAGTGTGGTTCCATGTATCATCTGGAGGCTGCTATCAGGGGTTTTGATCACCAACCACTTTTGATAATATATACAAGCCGGCTTTCCTACCGGTTATACCTATGGCCCCTCGAAAAATGGGTTTTTGCTATGCTGGGCCGTCGCCCGGCCAGGCATGCCAGGGCCAGTTGGGCAGAGGGGGGTTTTGCCCGGCAAAACCAGACAGGTCAAAATCGAGGCAAGGATCCCACAAAAAAAAGGACTTCAGGCCAGGACTGTGCTTGGCCTAAGCAGTCAGAATCCGGTCTTAACTTCAATTTTGGTGATGGGTCATGCAGGGGGGGTCTGTAGCTATGAACAGTGACTAAAGGGGTTTAAAAGGGTACATTTTGACTCATGTTTTCTCATATATTTACCTTAAATAAGGAATTTTGAGGTGACCCTCTGCCAAAAGTTGTTTGGATTGCAATGTTGCACAACATTTGCAAGGAACATGAGTATGGACGAAGCACAGAAATCCAGAATGCAAAATTACACTGAAGTCCAAGTATTCAAAGCCAAAGCAGATAGCACATGGAACCGAGTAACCATCCCATTGAGAATGATACAGAAGAATCGTGAGTCAATGTCCATGCCCACCAGGGCAACACCAACAGCATAACCCAAATGTAGCTCTCTCTTGGCGCCAGGCGCCCTATCTACTCTACAGCCTATCCTACAACTACAGCAATGAACAACAACCAGACAACTTGACTACCAGCGAGTGATGATGTCAACACCAATGCAGACCTCCACCATCACCAGGTACGTGTCCTCTTCCCCACAGTCTCCCTTGTTACCCACACAGCGGCCTTCACCTCCGAAGTACCACCTTCGCCCTCACCTCCCCTGCACCCTCATGTGGCCCGGCTATGGCCGCCAGTGCCCTGCACGCAGGCAGCGCCCTACCGCCTAGCGCTGGCCTGCTCTGTCTTAGCGCTGCGCTGCTCTGCATAGCGCTGCACACTTGCATCTGCGCAGCGTGCCYGCATATGCCAGCATTGGCCAAGATCCCCGCTGCCTSGCCCTGCTTGCCTATATGCCAGTGTWGCRTGTGGGCGGCCTCCCTTCAGCCTGTGACYGGGGCCCAGAGGCTGAAGCCAACTCGATACAGTTGGGCCCCGAGGCAATGCAGTTGCGCCTCCTTCATCAAGGCCTGCGGCCAGATTCAGACAGTGGGCCGATTTCCCTTTGGCATTTTCGGCCTCTCTACCCAGCATGCATTGTCGGCCTCACGATCGAGTGCCCAGGGCCTAACTAACTCAGAGGCCCTGGGCATTTCAGCATTTGCTGAAATCCGAGACTCGGTGCACTCCAACCAACTGGCGTGCTGCAACTGTATAGACCCCACTTCGTGAAATGTTGGCACAGAGGACTCTTGTTGATTTGCTGGCCCGCCTTCACTTAGGGCGGGCACTAGGCTTGCTGGGGCCTTAGCCCAGAACATGTACATCATGGCAAGGCCCCTACTTGAGGGCTCAATCCTCACANCGCCTTCACTTAGGGCGGGCACTAGGCTTGCTGGGGCCTTAGCCCAGAACATGTACATCATGGCAAGGCCCCTACTTGAGGGCTCAATCCTCACATTCCATCCCCCTTAGCTTCGAAAGTCCGCTGAGATGCTTACTTCGCCGGTGCCTTCCCTTTTAACTTCCGTTCATAATCTGCCACCACCGGAGGAGCTGTTTCCATCAGTTCCTCCCGGGTAAACCACCGATCTTCTTTAGGATCCGTATGATGCCTGAATCTGATCCGGCACTCACTCTTGGGCTTAGGAGGTCTTCCTCGACCCAGCGGCTTCGGAACAGGCATATCCCTGTGATCCACAATGTCGTCGATGTCGACTTGTCCATCCATGGTTGGGGGCAGCATCGATCTCCTGGAAGGGAATTGATCTGTCTCAGCGAAAGGTGCAAGCTTTGAGGCGTGAAAGACTGGGTGAGTGCGTAGATGACCAGGGACACGAATGACGTACGTAGGACCATCCATTTCATCTCCCACTACATCCAAGACTTCCCAGGGACCAAAGTACTGGGGCATTAGTTTGCGAGATATTCCGAATTCCTGTCCTAACTCACTAGCCTTGAAATGTGGACTGCCTGCGATGTTGATTCTCAGAAGCAATCATGGCTTGCTGAGCCTTCTTCATATGTTCAACAGCCTCTTGCAATAACTTCTCATGTTGCATACCGTATTCAAGTGTGCCTGGAGTTGCAGCAGGTCGGATTTCAGGTAGGAGGAAGTCTAATGCTGATCTAGGCTTCCATCCTAAGTGCACCTGGTTAGGACTGACGCCGGTACTACTATGTATAGCGTTGTTGTACAGGCTGGCGATGAGAGGTAACTGCTCATCCCAGTCATCCTGGCTGGGCTTGATGTAATGCCTCAGCAAGTGCTGTACAACTCTATTCATCTGTTTGGCTTGTTCGTTGGCTTCGGGATGATTCCCTGAAGTCATTTGAAGTTGACTGCCCATCTGTTCCGCAGTCTTCTTTCACAACTCACTTGTAAATCGGACGTCTCGGTCACTAATGATGGTCTTTGGTAAACCAAAGTCCCTTACCCAGTTGTCCTTGATCAACTTGATGACGCATTTTGTCCTGGCTGTCTCTGGCATTGGTATTAGTCTAGCGTACTTGGTGAATCGGTCAATGATGACGAAGATATGCCTCTTACCACTCTTGCTGGTCACAAGAGAGTCCATGAAATCCATGGAAACACTCAATCCTGGACCATCAGGAATAGGTAACGACTTCAATAACCCAAGCGGTGCTGGAGTTCGCGGCTTGTCCCGCTGACAGACCTGACAGGTCTCAACATACTTCTTTGCGTCATCTAACATTCTGGGCCACCAAAATCGTTGTACTAAGTTAGCACTCGTTGTCTTGTAGCCAAAGTGCCCAGTTGCGTCATGACATTCTCCTAAAAATAAACTACGCAACTGTTCACTAGATGGAACTACCAATCTCTTTACTCCGGCCTTATCAAGATAGATTAGCCCATCCATCATCACAAACTCACTTTCTGTGGCCTTGTCTTTTGCCTGAAGTTTGCGGATGATGTCCATGGTGACAGGGTCTACGCCAAATTCAGAAACTAGCGCACCTAGGTAGTCTGCTCTATGGGATAGCGCGTCTGCAACCTTGTTATACTCTCCCTTCAGGTACTCAAGCTTGAAGTCATATTGGTCTATGACCTCAATCCATCGCTTGAGTGCATCAGAAAGAGCCGATTGAGTCTTGATCCATTTGAGGGTCTGATGATCTGTCCTCAGATAGAAGAACCTTCCTAGAAGGAAGTGTCTCCAATGGACAAGTGCCTGGTAGAGAGCATAGAGTTCCCTTTCGTAGGTGGACTTAGCCAACTTCTTCGATGGCATCTTCTTACTCATGTACTCAATCGGTCTCAAACTTTTTCCCATCCTGCTGAGCCAGCACTGCGCCAATGCCGTATTGGCTTGCGTCAGTGGTCACTATGAATGGCTTTTGCGAATCGGGAACCATGAGAACTTCATGATTCATGAGTGCATGCTTCAATCTCTTGAAAGCACCCTCGCACTCATGCTTCAATCTCTTGAAAGCACCCTCGCACTCATGCTTCAATCTCTTGAAAGCACCCTCGCACTCATCACTCCAGTCCCACGGTGTGTCAAGTCGAGTTAGGTCAGGCAAAGGAGAGGCGACTGTAGAATAGTTCTTGACGAAGTTCCTATAGTAGCTGCACATTCCTAAGAAAGATCTGACCTCAGTGACTGTCTGAGGTCGTGGCCAGTCTCGAATACTAGCCACCTTCGCATCTTCCGGCATAATCCCTTCCATGGATACTTCATGACCCAAGTATAATATCTTAGTGCGGCCAAACTCGCACTTCTCTAAGTTGACCTTATACTTGTGCTGTCGTAGGAGTGAGAGTACGGGCTCAACATGCTGTGTGTGCTCCTCAGCAGACTTACTAAAGATCAGAATGTCGTCCAAGTAGACCACGGCAAACTTATCTAAATGGTCATGGAAGATCCAATTCATAGCGTGCTGGAACGTACCCGACGCATTACAAAGACCGAAAGGCATCACTACAGACTCATACAGACCATATCTAGTCTGAAAAGCTGTGTTGTGTTGGTCCTCAGGTCTTATTGCGATCTGGTGATATCTGGATTTCAAGTCTATCTTTGTATAGTACTTGCATCCCTGCACCCTATCCAATAGGTCGTCTATGCGAGGTAGAGGCTCTGCGTTTTTCACAGTGATGGCATTGAGGCCTCTATAGTCAATGCACATCCTCAAAGTACCCCCCTTCTTCGGTACGAATAGAACGGGTGATCCGTAAGGGGAAGTACTAGGCCGAATCCAACCCTTCTCTGTCAACTCCTTGAGTTGCTTCCGAAGTTCATCTAACTCGGCAGGGGCCATCGTATAGATTC